CTGACTCTCATTTTGCTCTTGTTAGGGACTCAGCCCCAATTCAGTCTTTTAACTGGGTCTGATCCTCCTGAAACGTGTTCATCTAGTAAACCCCTCCAAGAAAGGGAACCTGCCTGTGGGACCCATCCTTCATCTTATCAGCAGCTTGTCTTCGCATAGCACGATTCACATCTGAGTCCCAGGACCCCATTTAGATGAATGGTGATCAAATTAATCACAAGCCAGGGTTGGGATAATTCTTCAGTGGTCTCCCACTCTGGAGAAACCCCACAGGGCTCCTGCTGACTTTGGACAAATCGTTTAACCCATTTGGGCCTTTCTTTCCTCTTCTGTCAAGTTGGATTGAGTGATTTTACAGTCCTGCCCATGCATAAGATGCTGTGTCTATGATGGTTGCATTTTATTTGCTGCCTGGGGTAGGACTGGATTCCTTGAGATGCTAGATTTGGTTGAAAAGGAAAACTTCCTCAGCTTTTTTGAGCTGGCCTTCTCTTGGTATTGGATTTGGGGTGTGTTTATCAGTAAGGCTCTTAGTAACAGAACAGTTATTAGAAAGTGAAATGTTTACAGAAGACATGAAGCTTCAAATTTTAAGAGCTGGAGTTGACACATTTAACATTTTCTAGATTTTTGTAGGTAAATGGAAACAGTTTGAAATGTACATTTAAAAAAATTTTAAATCCAGTACCATATTCAATTTGTTAGAAGAAATTCTTTATAGGATGTTTTGAGCCAATTTTTCAAATAATGTGTGTTATGAGGTCACTTTGTGAATTTATTTACCTTTGATAAATGGTGACTGACTGTACTTACCCCCAGTGTAGCCTCTTTTGAGGTGGGTTGAGCTGTTTGCCAACAAAGGTCCGTCTAGTCAAAGCTGTGGTTTTTCTAGTAGTCATGGATAGATGTGAAAGTTCGACTGTAAAGAAAGCTGAGTGCCATAGAATTGATGCTTTTGAACTATGGTGTTGGAGAAGACTCTTGAGAGTCCCGTGGACAGCAAGGAGATCCAGCCAGTCCATCCTGAAGGAAATCAGTCTTGAATATTCATTGGAAGGACTGATGTTGAAGCTGAAACTTCAATCCTTTGACCACCTGATGTGAAGAACTGACTCATTGGAAAAGACCCTGATGCTGGGAAGGATTGAAGGCAGGAGGAGAAAGGGATGACAGAGGATGAGATGGTTGGATGGCATCACCGACTCCAAGGACATGAGTTTGAGTAAGCTCCGGGAATTGGTGATGGACAGGGCGGCGTGCTGCAGTCCATGGGGTCGCAAAGAGTCAGACACGACTGAATGACTGAACTGACTTTGCTGTTTCAGGCACCTGGTTTAGATTCATTTTACCCACGGACTATATGGCTTGACACATTTTAATGCTCAGTCTTAAATGGCTTGTTGCTGTAGTTTGGTCCTTTAAGGAAAACATTTTCCCCGTGTGTCTCCTTTCTTTGATCTTCTTTTCTGTTCTGTTCTTTACCAAGGGTTGGCGTTCTGTGGCTCTAGGGCCAGCTCCTCCAGCGTGTGGAGGGTCGCATGGGATCCCCCACGGCGGAGGGGCGCGCGGCAGGGCGGGGGAAGCCAGCATGTCCCTTCCCCTGAGGTGTAGTTCTTCCAGTCTGATGACCTGTCAGATCCACTGAGCCGTTGGTCAAGCAGATCGGACAGTGACTCGAGGAAGTGGTGGGGCAGGGTAGGGCAGGGCGGGGGGTGATGTCAGTATTTCAAGTTGCAGCTATCAGAAGTGAAGTGATTTCTCCAGAGACAAGCGTGTTTCTGGTGTGACCAGTTTGCAGGAATTACGCAGCGTGGAGTGTTGTCCCCCAAGAGGAAATGGAGGGTGAGCGAGGGTGGTAAGAGATCCCTTAGGGTGGGTGGGAAGGCACTCGGAGAAGAGGAGTATGAATGTTAGTTTTAGTTTCATGCGAGGAAACGTACTTTAATGTGATGACTCTTGAGCAGAGAGTTTTGCATTCACATATTCAAGTTTTTTTTTTTTCAAGTATTTTTTAATAGGGAACTTGCTTTAACAGTAGAATCTTTCACCCTGTTCCAATTTGATACGGTGTCTCATGGGGAAAAAGGTAAAAACTGAGGAAAACCAGTTTTTACCTTGTACATAATTATAGTTTGAGAAGCAGAGTCCTGCTGCAAGTCTTACATGACTGATTTCTGGACCCAAAGTGGGCTTGACAGTGGGCTGGAGCAGTAATAGCCCCCCTACTGTCAGGAGAGGCCAGGGCAGGCTTTTCCCAGCACGCCTGCCCGAGGCGAGGCCTGTCCTAGACTCTGGCCCTGGAGCCTGTGTCTGGGAGCCGGAGAGGAGTCGGCTTCATCAGCAAGGTGGCCTGCCGCCTGGGCAGGTGGGCATCTGGGGGCCTGGAGAGGTAGATGGACAATGTTGAAAGCTGTGACTCTTAACAGTGATGGCCTGTTAAACACCTACGCAGACATTGAGAAATTGCTCCAGCCTTTGTGTAGAAAACAAAAGAGGCAAGCTTCTTCTGCTTTTAAGGAGCTTATGTTTTGCTCTGGCCTTTGGCAAGAGTCACAGATGGAAACAGATATTCAGTTGTGTGACTGTCATTCAAGTAGCTGTGAGTTGATGATGGCCTAGGGCCTCTAGAGACCTAGGCCTTTATTTTTTATTTATTTATTCTTGACTGCACTGGGTCTTCATTGCTGCACACACACTTTCTCTAGCTGCGGCAAGCAGGGGCTGTGCCCTAGTTGTGGTGGGAGGACTTCTCTTGTTGCCGAGCACTGGCTCCAGGGTACACAAGCTTCAGTTGTTGTGGCACCTGGGCTTAGTTGCCCCACGGCATGTGGGATCTTCCCAGGCCAGGGATCGAACCAGTGTCCCCTGCATTGTGGCACCTGGGCTTAGTTGCCCCACGGCTTGTGGGATCTTCCCAGGCCAGGGATCGAACCAGTGTCCCCTGCATTGCAAGGCAGATTTTTAACCACTAGACCACCAGGGAAGCCCAAGACCCAGGCCTTTAAAAGTGATTCTTTTTCTTCATAAGCAGTGCATATCTGACTGATAAAGGAATGCTTATTGCCATTCAAAAATAAGACTATAAATAAACCAAAAGAGGAAATTAAGTCACCCTAATCTCATCACACAGAGCTAACCACTGAAGTGCTCCTGGAAATAGGAGATAACTAGCCAATGCCTCCCTCCTTTGGGCCCTGGAGTCTTCCATCACAGAGGACTCCCCCTGGGGGTCATCGCCACGGGATGGCCTTGTTGTGAAGACAGCAGTTGGACACATGAAGATGACTGTAGGCTTGTCAGGAAAATCCCTTTGGTAATGACACTACTTGCTGCTTTTAAGTGACTCTCTTGTATGAACAGGGTTTAGATTTTAAACTATGTTCTCCGTAACAAAATGTAAACTTGTAATGTTTCAATTAAATTCTGTTTTCTTCCTGTTTAAAAAGGCGGATTATGGGACTTCCCTGGCGGTCCAGTTGTTAAGGCTCCACGTTCCCAATGCAGGGACTGCAGGTTCTGTCCCTGGTCAGGGAACTAAGATCCCTCGTGCCACACGACACAGCCAAAAAGTAAAAAGAACAATAATAAATGATAAAAAGTTAGGTTGCATGTGTGTGCATAGTTATGTATGCACTAGAAAAATCATAATATAATCTATTCTTTATACTTTTATTTTTAGGGCAGTCTTATGAACTGACAAAGAAGCAGCGTGATAGTGTGGGAAGACCCATGAATGGGGAGTCCGTGGTGTTGACTCTTTGTCCTGACCCTAGTCATATGCTCCAAGCTGGAGAATATATTTAGCCACTCTGGATCTGAGTTTCCACTTTGTCATGAAACAAGGACCCACACTAGGCAATCTTCTCGCCCTTATCGTCACAGCCTCAGGCCATAAATCTTTCCTCGTACCAGTCTACTATTCTGCATTGTTAGGGGTTGAGGGGCTGCTTTTCCTTTAGTGGACAATTTTCTAAGGTTCCAGCAATCAGGACTGAGGCAGTGAGGAGGAAACAGGCTGCTTCTGAATTTGCCCGCCTGTGGTTTTACCAGAGGGGCATTTCTAGTCAGAGAATTTCAGAGTATTAGAGAACTGTGTTGCTAGGATGGCCCCATTCTTCCCAGACTGAAATTACACCCGGAGTGCACTTCATGATATACATATGTATTGTAATTTGTAAACATAACTCAGAACCCCGTATCTAATGTCAGGTCATTTGTGGTTGGCCATTCAGACCTCATTTCTATTTGACAAGGGTTTATTTTAAGATTGCTTTGTGGAGCGGTTGTTTAACATTCAAATGATCTATTAGTGTCAAGTCTTTAGCTAGACTCCTTTTAAATGAGCTGCCCGTTAAGTAGAAAACCAAACAGAAGTTTACGTTTCCAGCCCAACCTAGCAAAATCAGTGTAACTTACATTTTTTATCTTCACATTTATTCATCCTTTTTTTTTGTCTTGAATATTCATTTAGGATAATAGTACCTATGTGAATGAAATTCTTTTAGTTACTGTTGATACTGTGGCTTAGCAAAAGCTGTAGACTTCTTAATAGTTTCAGAGAAGAACGCTTTACAGTAAGCTTAGCTTACTGTAAAAAATGGATTTTTTTATATCCGAAAAAATGGATTTTTCGGTAAGTTAATTGTTTCTTAGCAGAGTCGCAAATGTGCTTCCATAGCTTTATTTCTAGGATGTTAAAAGAAATGTTCTATGGGAGTAAGTTCCCACTAGGCAATTAACATTTTTTTTTTACAGGCTAAGTATACATTGTTAACTCCAGTGGGCTATTTTGTGGGAGATGGGATGGAAGCCAAAGATGATTTAGGTCAACAGCTAAACTGAGCCTCAGGTGGTGGTTTTTACATCATTCTAATTCTTAGCATTAGCACCGTGGCTTCCGCTCTCCTTGCCTGGCGTCCAGGTTGCCACAGCTGGCAGTCCGGGCCGTCCTTTCCTGTGTAACAGACTTCATCCGCCACCTGTGACTCGGGGCTCCTCGGCCCGCGCCTTTTGTCTTCCAGATGCTCCATACTCGCCTGCAGTGCCTACGTGGCTCTGGCTTTGGGTGATAACCTCATGGCTCTGAATCACGCAGATAAACTTCTTCAGCAGCCCAAGCTGTCAGGATCTCTGAAGTAAGTGTGACTCTCCCTGTGTGTTTGTTTTGTTTGGAGGGTTCCCGTGAGTCTGTGGTGCATATTGCCTCTCGGACTTCCCCGGTGAAATGTAAATTATCTTAGGGAAAGCAAAAATGTTCCTTAATTTGCTAATTTTTTGTGTTTGGTAGTGAAACTTTTTTTCACTTGTTGTACCTCGAGGGTTATTGGAAACGGCATTTGCCATACTGTGCATGAGGGAGCAGAAACTCTGGACCCTGTTTTCTGGGTCTGAGGGGGCACATTATCACATACTAGCTCCCAAAACAAGCTGAGTCCTCGGTGAAAAGACCCACATGAAAAGGAGTTTGGTCAACAGGATAAATCTGCTTTGAATTTAAAATATTTTACCAAACAGCTGCACCATTTCCAGAGAACATGAGTCTTATTTAAACTCTTCAGATGCCTCTTCAATATTAATGTCATTGTCACTCTAAAATTTTCTAAAGCACATCATCTTTTCTTTTATGAAAATTGAGTAACATGCAGCATTCTTTGAATCTTTGTATGATGCTGATGCTGGAAATTTTACCCAAGACCATGGGTACTCTGCATAACATCAGGACAGTTGTTTTTACACCCTTCCTTTATGTACATAGTTACAATTTCCAAAATACCTTCTTTTCCCTTGCAGTGGCCTTTGTTTATAACATGCAACACTTAGAACTGTGAGGTCATACCCTGAGGAACAGTTCTGTAAATGTTTATTTTTGCCTTTTATAAAGGTATTACTTTATACAAGCATCTAAAGTTAACATCGATTGGGACTTCCCTGGCGGTCCAGTGGTTAACACCCTGTGCTTCCATGACAGCGGGGCACAGATTCGATCCCTGGTCAGGGAACTAAGATTCTATAGGCTGCACAGTGAGCCCCCACCCCCACCACCCCCCCAGAAAAGAGCATCCAGGAACATAGAGACTTTGTCACTATTCACGTATGAGAGCTCTTGCTCTCCTGTGAGAAAATCTCATCGACTCTCCAGGCCTGGAGGGTCCTGGGCTTGAGATCAAGGCAGTCGGGTTGCCTCTAAGGCACCTTCCCGTGGCCCAGCGCTGAGAAGTACCAGCCAGGAACCTTGGCCTGCGCCTACCAGACACCTGCTGCTCAGACTGTGCTGTGCCTGGCCATCGGTAGTGCAGAGTTTTGTTATGAAACACAAATCCTCGCTGCTTTTTTTTTTAATTCTTTGACTGACATGGTCATCACTGTTGTCAAATAAACCTAGTTAGATTCTTTCCTTGGCATTTGTGGGGGGGTTTTCAACCTCCTTTATCAGCTTCTTTCCTCTGAACATCAAAGCAACAACATTCTTGGGTTTTATGATTTCTTGAGGGACTGGCCAAGCCATGTCTGATCATTTCATGTGTAATTCTCTGTAACCATTCTATCCTCATCTTTGGTTCCTAATCACTAGCCAGAACCTGCATCTCTGCAGTGAGGATAAGCCTTTCTGCCTTAGACAGCCCAGATACCACAGTGACTTTACCTTCATGTACTCGTCCGAAGATCTGGGCTTTGAGCGTCATGAGGCATTTATTTTATTTTATTTTTTTTTAAGTAAAGTCACAGAATTTGAAGTGGTTTGAAGTGGTTCTCTGAATTTGTATGTTTATGGGTGGGAGGGGGGTATTTTTATGTTTTTATTTTTTTGGCCTTGCCAGGGCATGTGGGTTCTCAGTTCCCTGACCAGGAGTCGAATCTGCACCTCCTGCTTGGAAGCATGGAGTCCTAACCACTGGACCAACCAGGAAAGTCTAATGTGTCTCTGTTTTGTAATGATTATTGGCTTATGGATTCTGGCTTAATGCAATTTTTAAAATATCTTATTTCAAAATATATTTAAAGTTACTGATTTTTTTAAGTTGTCATTCCTGTTAGGGTATCTGGTGGGGAAGCAAAATAGAAGAGCATTACATATAAAACAGATTAATAAGAACCTAATTTGTAGCACAAGGAACTCAAATGCTCTGTGCTGACCTACAGGAGAATAGAGTCTAACCAACAGTGGATATATATAAATGTATAACTGACGTACTTTACTGTAAGCAGGAGCTAACACAATGTTGGAAATCAACTCTACTCCACTCAAAATTAAAGAAGTGGGGGCATTACAGCTCCTGCTAGTTAGAAGAAAGAAATTGCTTAATAAAGAGATAGCTCTTAAGAAAAAGAGAGAGAGAAGAGTTGGCTCTTGGGAATTCCCTGATGGTCCAGTGGTTAGGACTCGGTGCTTTCACTGTTGAGGGCCTGGATGTGACCCCCAGTCAGGGGATGGAATTCCACAGGCCATGCAGCAGAGCCAAAGAAGAAAAGAAAGAGAAATGCTCTTGAGTGTGCATAAATCCCAGAAAATGGTCAAATTGGAAATAGGCTATGGTTTGAGGACTCAAAGTCCATGTGGACAGACTCAGTTGGGACAGGCTGGCTAAAGGAGTTGGGAACTGAACTGGCCTTTCAGAGGAGTTAGAGTTCGGCCAGGCTTTGCAACCCAGGAGGCCAGGCTGCAGGCAGCGCAATGGGGTGTCCGCCCAGGGCATTGACGGGAACAGAGGAACCTTTGGGGGAGTGAGATGTTGACTGAATACAGGAAAGCAGAACCCAACTGTGGAGAGCTTTTAAATCTACAAAAGTTTAGTTTAGTTTTGTTCTCAAGTAGAGTGATTAGAATTTTGAGCAAAGGTGTATTGTGTCTAAGGCTGTTTTAATTTTGAAAAATCAATCAGATGATCTTGGGGAAAATGGCTCAAAGCAAGACACTGGAAGAACCAGGTCCAGCTGACAGCAGCTGGACCCAGAAGAGAGGATGTGAAGGGGAGGAAGAAGTGAAGTTGATCCAGGGACTTCCCTCATGGTCCAGTGGTTAAGAATCTGCCTGCCAATGCGAGGGACACAGGTTCTATCCCTGGTCGGCAAAGATCCGACATGCGGCGGGGCGGCTGAGCCTGAAGCCCATGTCCTACAACCACGGAAGGCCGCGTGCATCTCGAGCCTGTGCCCTGCCACAAGAAAGGCCTGAGTGAGACGCTCGTGCCCCGCAGCTAGAGAGTAGCCCCGCTTCCCCCAACCAGAGAGCCCGCATGCGGCAATGAAGACAGACCCATGCAGCCAAAGTTATAAATAAATTTAAAGGGAAAAAAACAAACAAATTTGGGTTGATCCAACCCAAATCTAGTCTGGTGCCCTAGTGCCTTTGGCTGATCTGGCAGCACAGGCTGGAGAACCCTAACTCTGATCCTCCACTCCCAGGGCACATATCCTAGGACCTGCCACTTCCTTTAGAGCTTCATCAGTCCCTTATGGTATTTTCTGTATAAATAGAAGAGCATACATTTGTCAACTATATTTTAAATTTTTATTGAAATACAGTTGCTTTACTGCCCACTTTATTTTTTTTTCCAATTATTTTTATTAGTTGGAGGCTAATTACTTTACAATATTGTAGTGGTTTTTGCCATACTGCCCACTTTAAACTGCTGTCTTGATATGTCATTTATTCCTTCTTAGCAAACATAAAAATTATTGTATATTTTAAGATATTTTTAAAGAGAAAAATTTAAGTGATTCTTAACATCTGTGAAATTTTTACATATACACCAGATTATTTTATACAGTGGGTATTTTTGTGATGACCTACGTTTCAATTTGGAACCGTGTTTTTCATTTCAGGTTCCTGGGTCATTTATATGCTGCAGAAGCCCTCATCTCTCTGGACAGAATCTCTGATGCTATTACTCACTTGAACCCGGAGAATGTCACTGATGTCTCCTTAGGGGTCTCTTCAAACGAGCAGGACCAAGGTTAAGGAAGACGTGTTCGATCAGAACTCTTCACCATTTCCACTGCCTTTCTGTTGTAACTCAGGATGTATAGAAATTTAAGGGCACGGTTGTGAAGGGAAGGGAGTTTTAGGTCGGCAGTCTGTAGTTTCGGCTGTTCTTACTATGTACTAATTGCTAAATTCTAACTTTTGAAACGCTGATGGTGTTAGAGAGATTCATTTTTTTGTTTGTTTTTTAATATTTATTTATTTGGTTGTTTGGGGCCTTAGTTGCAGCATACAAACTCAGTTGCAGCATGTAGGATCTAGTTCTCTGGGGATTGAACCTGGGCCCCCTCCTTTGGGAGTGTGGACTCTTAACCACTGGACCACTGAGGAAGTCCAGAACAATTTGTTTTGATTCTTATACTGTGTTTTTCTCTGTGGAGGGATTCCACAATCCCGGGGGGGAGTAAAAACACATTCAAAAGTCAGTTTTAAATCATGGCTAAATTTTTGAGGGAGCAAGACTAGAATTTCCTTTATTCGAGGTTATTTCTCAGATTTGTGGTGGTGGTGGGTGGGAGGTGGCATTCTCGTCTTTTATTAGAATCTGTGTGCTTAGTCGCTCAGTCATGTCTGACTCTGCGACCCCATGGACTGTAGCCCGCCAGGCACCTCTGACCATGGTTTCTCCAGGGAAGCATATTGGAGTGGGCTGCCATGCCCTCCTCCAGGTCATCTTCCCAACCCAGGGATCGAACCCAAGTCTCCCACATTGCAGGCAGATTCTTTGCCATCTGAGCCACTGGTGTTATTCGAACCTCCACCACATAAAAAAGGAAATACGGTGACAGATTGCCTTAATATTAGATTTCCATTTCACAAAGAAAATGTAAGTTTTTGGAAAATACACTCTTTTTGTCTGGCCCCCTCAGAGTTATCTTCGTGTCTTTGTAGGATCAGACAGAGGTGAAAATGAAGCGATGGAATCCTGTAAGTACGACATTTTGTAAAGACTTCAGTAGCCCAGACTGCTTCCCAAAGACTCGACCTCAAGCCTCCGTGGCCTTCCTCTGTCCGCCCGAGGAGGATAGCCGGGTGTAAATCCTGGGCAGCTTCTCGGGCGGTGGAGGGGTTGCTTCCGTGCCCCCGGCCCGGCCTCTTCACGCGGGTCTGCTCTTCTCCCCAGCTGGGAAACGGGCCCCTCAGTGCTACCCCAGTTCCGTCAACTCAGCCCGGACGGTGATGCTGTTCAACCTGGGCAGCGCCTACTGCCTGAGGAGCGAGTATGACAAGGCCCGGAAGTGTCTTCACCAGGTGAGGCTGGGCCAGGGCCCGGCGTCTTGTGGAGCAGCCGGCGGGGGGCTTGGGGTTGCTGGGCTCTGTCATCCTGTTTGCGTTCTGACGTCTGGTCGGTTTGTTAAACGTGGGAATAGGACTCCTCCAGACATACTCTTTTTAAAAATTATTTACTTGGCTGTGCTGGGTCTTAGTTGCAGATGCAGAATCTTTAGTTGCAGCATGTAGGTTCTAGTTCCCTGAGCAGGGATCGAACTCAGGCCCCCTGCACCGGGAGCATGGAGTCTTAGCCACTGGACCACCAAGGAAGGCCCCAGACATATTCTTGCAAGGTACAGAACTGACTGCTGTGGCAAATGAACCTAGGCACCTAATGGAGAGTTTTCCTGAAGATTTTAATCATCAGTATTTCCAAAGATTGTTAACCACATCTGTATCAGTGCTCAGTCAAATCAGTAATGGTATTCCAAACAGTTGAACCCAAGGCAGCTGTAAACTTTGCATACTAAAACAATAACATATCTGAGACATATTTTAAGTGAAAAGAACAAATAAATGCACAGCAGTTTTTATGTAATCCTGTATATGCATAAAGGATCTCTGGATGAATATGCCAGAAACTGCTAACATTGGCTCCAGGGGGTGACAGGAGAGGTGCTGTGTAGCTGGAGCAGTGAGATGGGAGACTGTTCCCCGGACACCTGTCTGCTTCGTAGTTTTGAATTGCGTGAATCTCTGTTCACTCAAAAAGTTAAATTACAGATACGCCTTTTTAGAAACAAGGGTTCACGAAGTCAGTACCCAAGAAATTCTGCACACAATAAAAGTTCCTGGCGCTGTGTAACTCAACTGGACCTCTGACTTCTCCCACCCAGAGGGGCCGCATCAGCAGATCTCTGGGGAACTTTTGATCAGGGCTCTTGAAGTCCCCTGCCCGTCCTTGGACCAGTCACAGACAGGGACCCAACCTGTAGTAGGGGAATAAGTACTGCCATCGGCAGCCCCAGAGGGGTTCCACAGAACTGGAAAGGACTCATCCTCAGATGCATATTAATTCAGTACTTTCCTGGCGGTCCAGTGGTTAGGTCCACGCTTCCACAGTAGGGGGCATGAGTTCAATCCCTGGTTGGGGAACTAAGATCCTACAAGGTGCAAGGCACGGCCAAAACAAAACAAAAAACAAGCATAGGCAAGAGCTGGAAGAATCCCAAGCAGGAGAAGACCAAGAGGGAAGGAGCTCTTTCTCCTGTTAAGAACTCATTATGGGTTAGGCAAGGGAAGATAAAAATGTACTAAGAATTACATGTCTAGTTTAATTGGGAGGGATGAAGACAAAGACAGCTGAGGGCCATCTGAGCAGAACTGTAGTGTCCCAGTGAGCTCGAGTAAGTTTGCTGACTCGACATTGGTAGGTTGACATTCTTTTTCTTTTTTTGGCATTACTCGGAGTTTGTATCTTAAGCTACCCGTTTCTCATGGGTCTCTCTTCTGTTTTGAGTGAAGGCGGCCTCAATGATCCATCCCAAAGAGGTGCCCCCTGAAGCCATCCTGTTGGCTGTCTACCTTGAGCTACAGAATGGTGAGTGGTTCTTCTCTTGACTGTAGCCCTGCAGAGAGCCAGAGATTTTTGGTGTCTGCTCTTTTTCTTAGAAACGGAAAAGATGTTACCAATCACATTCTTCTAAACAAGGGAGTGTCTGGTATGTTGCAAATTCCCACTTCTTGCAGATTAAATGTATATCCTTTCATCTGTGAAAATGCAGAGTAGCATAACTTCTGACAATTATAATTAATCTCTACTAATTAACCTTTCTCTCAGGCATCCAAATGACTCTTAATTGAGATCCTGAGACAGAAGGCAGTGGCTTTGGCTTGTACACCTTAGTGTTTAAAACACAGATGTTGTTAATAAGCTTTGCCGTAAGCCAGTTCCTGTGAGGACTTTTTATTCAAGCGTAAATCCAGGTCGTGCCTCTGGGGGCATATATGACCTAGAAGAAAGGCTGTGGGCCCTACATGTGAGATGATGTGACGTAGAAGAGGAGAGCTGAATGGGAGAGATGAGGGGGTACAGAAGCATGAAAAGGTGTTCGTCATACCCCCTTCCTGATCGTGGAAATCCTTACAAGCCTTCCCCTCTTTTTATTGCTGAAGAAGGTGCATTTTTATGGCTTAAGAAGGCACCCAGCAGGCCTCGTCCTCCTGAAAGGCGTGGCCAGGGTTAGTGCACAGTCTAGAGCCCTTTTTTAAGTTCTCAAACTGGGCTCTACCTTAAAATCGAGGCAGAGTGTTTAACAACTCTGTCCCCTCGCTCACACGCTAAATTTCTTAAATCAGAATTTCCCAGGATGGTGCAAGGGCATTGCATGATTCTAGCATATAGCAGCGGTTGCAGACCACTGCTCTTCTCCATCATCTTTTCCTCCCTTTTGAGACTTGATGGGCTTACTTTGTTAGGTGGTGCTATTGTTACATGCTTTTTTGTAATGGGAAATGTTTTTATAGGTAATACCCAGCTGGCCTTACAGATCATCAAAAGGAATCAGCTGCTCCCTGCAGTGAAAACACTCTCTGAAATGAGAAAGAAGCCAGTGTTCCAGCCTGTCCACCCGATCCAGCCCATCCAAATGCCAGCGTTCACTGTGCAGAGAAAATGATAGTTTGCTCGTGAAAAACTGTTACCTGAGACCCAGGGGAATATTTACAAGCCTTTTTAGTTGTATCACAGCAAAATGAATAAAAGACATGCTGAAGGGTGCTAGTTTTGAAGACACAATTTTGAAACAATTTTAACCCCTGATTTTTATTTTATTTTATTTTATTTTAATTTTTTTGGCTGGAAGCTTACATACAGTTAAGGATTCACAAACTCATTTTCATCTGTTTTCCATATCTTTGCTAGATTATTCATTTTAAGCCATTATGTGATATATCTGTCAAAGGCAATTAAAACACAGTCTTATCAGAACAGTCTTGTTAAATACATTTTGTCTTTTTTGCAGTGGTTATGGTATGTTGGTATTCGAGATTTCATGTTAAAGTTTTTTGTTTTTTGTTTTATGTTTTAAAAATTGAAAGCACATCGTGAGCAGATGAGTAGCCTGTCCAGAAGTCGCTCAGGGCAGAAGGCGGAGGAGGCTGCCATGTCACAAGCCTTGTTGTGACTAAAGGGGCCAGAAAATGCATAGTAAGACCCATAAGCCTAGTCAGGTTGAGTTAAGAAGTGATGACTGATAGGAATTAATTATGGCTTAAAAACTGCAGATGAAGACAAACCACATTCAGGGCACTGGTCATGTTCACCCTCCTGTACCCTTAGGCAGAAGCACCAGTTAGGGAGTCTGTTAGCAGGGAGTTCAAGGCTCATCGCTAGTCTCTGCAGATGCAAAGGAGAACTTAAAAGCTGCTTTCTCATAAGAGACAGGTATGTGTTGCAGGATTGACCTGGCCAGAATTTGTCGATAGGGTCAATACATTAAACTTAAAAGCAGGAAAAACAAAACACGCTACAGACTGACTTTGGAGAACCCAGGTGACCGCCCCCCAGTCAGTATCAGGCTGGGTGGATTCAGGAAAGCTGGCCGTTCAGGATCGTCCCTGCTGCCAGCATCTCTCTAGTTCCCGACTTGGAAGACCAGGTTCACTAGCTGAATCTCTGTGGTTCCTCCGTTTTCACAAATGGAGAGGGGAGCATTTAGATAAGCACATGGTTTATCAGAAACTGCATCTGAATTATTCTGTTGCTGAAATCAAACATTTTAGTTAGGGATCTACACGACTGTGTGTGATATGACCAGACATTACCCACAAGTGACTCAGAGAAGGGGGCGAGGTTTCTCTTCCATTTGAACGTGGGATGGGCGCACACGGGGGCTCGTCTGCTCTGTTGCCGTGTGGCAGTTATTTTCCCTGGCGGCTCCGCAGTAAAGAGTCCGCCTACCCGTGCAGGAGATGCAGGTTCCATCTCTGGCTCAGGAAGACTCCCTGAAGAAGAAAATAGCAACCCACTCCAGTATTCTTGCCTGGAGAATCCCATGGACAGAGGAGCCTGGTGGGGCTACAGTCCATAGGGTCGCAAAAGAGTCAGACACGACTTAGCAATTAGGCAAGTAGTTTTATATACAGAGTGGATTCCTTCCTGGAGGATACAGAAAACAGGTGGCCTAGCTCCCTCGGGCCTCTCGAAACCTTTTCCAAATGATATGGGAGTTGTAGGCTGCACTCGTGTTGGTCCAAGTCTGCAGGAGCTGCTTCCCCAAGCCCCAGATCCGCAGCAGTTCTGTGGGACCCACGTGTGTGATGCAGATGGTAGCAGCTTTGCCTGTTGCTATTGAGTCGCTCAGTCATTTCCAACTCTTTGGGACCCCGTGGACTGCAGCACACCAGGCTTCCCTGTCCTTCACTATCTAAGTTTGCTCAAACTCATGTCCATGGAGTCACTGATGCCATCCAACTATCTCATCCTCTGTCACCCCCTTCTCCTCCTGCCCTCTATCTTTCCCAGCATCAGCGTCTTTTGCAATGAGTCAGCTTTTTGCATCAGGTGGCCAAAGGATTAGAGCCTAGCCAGGGCATTTTCCAGACAAAGCCCACACGCTTCATAAATCGCCAGCCCACCAGGTCTTGGGTAGCATATGAGTGGTAGAAGGCCTGTAATCGAACTCGAAGGCAATACATCTTTGGAAACATCTCAAGAAATTGAAACTTTCCCCACTTGCTGATTAGTTAGAGGGAAAGCAGGAATAGCTAAGAGGCAATGAGGCCCCATGTTGCTGCTAAATAAGAATACCTTTGGCTGTCAGTAGCACAAAGTGGATCCGTGACTTAAATGAAGATAGTTTCTATCCCACTTGAGAAGGGGATCCATAGGCAGCTGGTGACCTTGGCTTTAGTGCTCAGTGATGTTCTCAGGGACTTGGCTCTGTTTTCCCACACCATCCTCCTTAGCATCCGGAGTTTTGTCCCCCAGGTCACAGGATGTTCCAACATCATATCTACACTGAAGCAAGAAGATGAAGGCAAGACTTCCCTGGTGGTCCAGTGCTAAAGAATCCTCTTGCCAATGCAGGAAACACAGGTTGGATCCCTGGTCCAGGAAGATTCCATGTGCCGTGGGGCAACGAAGCCCATGCTCCACAGCAAGAGAAACCACCACAAGGAGAGCCCTGAGCTCCACAGCAAAGAGTAGCCTCCACTCACCGCAACTAGAGAGAGCCTACTCGAAGCAGCAAAAACCCAGCGCAGCCAAAAATAAAATTTGAAAAGAAGGTAAAGGCAACCCTATCATGATCGGAAACCATTAGGAACAAAGTTTCCCCAGAAACCCTTAGCACACCCCAGCCTCCATCTCCTCTGTAGTTCAAATCATGTATCCATCCTTAGCTTCAGGTGCTGGTACAACCCTGCACATCTTACAAGAAGGCTGGTGAAGGGTTTTCCCAGCTGGAGCACTCTAAATCTGATGCACTGTTGTCAAATTCTGACTCCCAGCAGTCCAGCTCTCCCTTCCACAGCCACCTTCAGCAGTTCTGGGCGCAGTAAAGGTAGGCTCTTCACCTCTGTGACTTGTCTTTCTGAGTCCATCAACCAGGAAGGCTTCTCCCACTCATTTTTTCCACCAGTCTGTGAACCACCATCTCTGCTAACGGAGGGGCTTCCCTAGTAGCTCAGCTGGTAAAGAATCTGGCTGCAGAAAACAACAAAATTCTGTAAAGCAATTATACTTCAATGAAAAAAAAAGAATCCTCCTGCAATGCAGGAGACCCCGGTTCGATTCCTGGGTCAGGAAGATCCCCTGGAGAAGGGATAGGCTACCCACTCCAGTATTCTTGGGTTTCCCTGGTGGCTCAGCTGGTAAAGAAGCTCCATATTCTGGCCAGGAGAATTCCATGTAGTCCATGGGGTCGCAAAGAGTCAGACACGACTGAGCAACTTTCACTTAATGCTAATGGAGGTGATCCTAACTGTGCTGAGAGGTTTTAGATGCCATGTCCTGGAAGCTTTCCCCTTTTTGTCTTGATCATAACTTTCTACTATGGTATATGATGTTCTGCAGTTTCACAGGTGTGGGGGCTCTCAAAGGGAGGTGTCAGAGCTGATGGGGTTGTGAATTCTGAGACAGGCCGCCTCAGCTTTTGTTCAAGCCCCGCCACCCGTTCAGCAGCCCAGTAGGCCAGGATTCACGGCATGGGTCGCTTCACAGACTGCGCAGGGCGGCCCCCAGCAGAGCCAGCGCCTTCAAGGGTCTCTCCTGCCCCACTCGTACCCCGACCCCCTTCTCAGAACAGCACTCGTGGTGTTCCCACCATGCAGAGCCCCTTATGGGCCCGTCTGCTGGGAGCTCTGCCCCTTACTCAACCCAAGTGCCGTGATCTCTGTTGAGGTTTTTGACCCTCTGCACAATGAAGCTAACTTTCCTCAGGGCCTCCTGTGAAAATTAAAATGAGATGCCCGAATGCAAAGACGTTCACTACAGGTGAGTTCATTTACCTTCCTGTTGCCCAAAGGACCTGCTCAGCCCAGTCATCCTCGATGCTGTCTTCATCTCAGCCTCACCTCTCAGGCGCCCATCCAGCCCCGCTCTTGGAAACCACGTGGAGAAAGGTGACCAGTTCCATTGTGAACCCTGGAGCCAGACTGCTGGCCTGGCCTCAAATCTCAGCTCTCTCACCGGGACAGACTTGATCTGCAACACAGTATTTTGCCTCTTTGGGCCTCAGTGTTTTGTTCTGTTTTGTTTTTCATCTGTGAAGTGAGGACAATAACAGTACCCCTCTCACAGATTCGGAATGAGGTTTAAAGCCCTGGACATTGTTGTTGCTGGATATGAGCTCCAGATGTTCAAAAGGAAATTCTTCATTTTTTTTTACTGTGTAAGATGAAGGATAATCAAAACAGAGACTGCTGAGCCACTGGAAATGGGAAGCTGGGTGGTAAAGAGCAAGGGGACCCTTCCGGGTAAATGACCGCCTCCTGCGCTCCGGCTGTGTCGTGTCTGGGCCACGAAGGGTGTTCAGTACATACTGGCATCATCCTGTGTTATCCTGTTCTTAACCTGCCTCACCCAGGCCTCCTCCTTTGACAGGAGGTCCCTTCCCCACCCTTTCCTCCTCACCTCACCTGCAGCGCAGCTCCGACTCCCCCCAGAGAGGTCTCTGCACGCCACCCCCCCCCACACACACTGAACTTCTCTTATAGCCAGTGTGTTACATCCAGACTGGACTCTGCTGTCCCCCAGAGCGGTCACCATTTCCCGTCCCTAGGACTTGGTTCTGGCCCTTTCACACGGCCCCTTGGCCCCTAACTCCCAGGGAGATACCTGCTCTGTCCCAAGTCTTCATTCATTCCACACATGCTGCCCAGAGGTACTTCTGGGATGGTAAGCTTTTCAGGGGAGCCCCATGGTAACCTGGCAGATTTTCAGTTCTTCATCATCTTTCCTTCCCCTTCCTGGATCCTGAGTACGTTGAAAACAGGGCTGTGCCTTATACAGTGTGTGGACTGTTCTGGAGAGGAACGTCTGCAGAACAGATTCCGGGTGCCTTCCTTTCTAGGTCGGGCAGTGTCATAGGAACTGCTTTTCTCAAGGTGGGGATGGCTTATTAACATAATCCCAGGGTTTGCGGGGGGCCTCAGCATCCTTGACCCTCTGAGCCTCATCAAGCCAGTTAAATAGTGACCCAGCATGGGTGGGTTACTGGTCAAACTCAGCCAGCCCAGCCTCAAGGAACCAAACCTATATCTTCAGAGAGCAGCTTGCACTCTAGGCTTGGCTTCCTCCCTGGGAAGAACCGGGCCGACGTGCCGGCTCCTGGGTGGGAGTGGGAGGGCCCCGGGAGGAGGCAGCGCAGTTCATTAGCCCCCTCATTTGGGGCAAAGGGGATCCGTGTGGTGACAAACAATTGTCCAGGAGGATTTAGGCGGATTTGGCCAAGTGTCCCTGTGGGCCCCAAGCCTCCTCCTAATCCAGTCCACATTTCTG